TTATCAACCATTCATCATGACAATTACTATCCTTATCACTGTCATTATCACTGACATATCAATTATCATTATCTTATATCATCATCACTGTAATCACAATTATTATTACAACGTCCTTTATTAACAGCATCATTTTAGCCATTATGTTATTAACGATGGTAATCATCACTCTCTCTAATCTTATTATTATCATCTCCCTTTAAATTGACCGCCATAGTTAGTCTTGTTACTTTGTTGGTAACACTGATAACACTATACTCTTCCAAACTCAAAAAAAGGGAAAACCGCAACTCAGTCCCAGTTCTGGAATACTCCGATTCGTCGAGTCTATTATAAAGAGAGAGAGATACAGAAAAAAAGATTAATGAATAGTGAAGAATAATAAATGGGAAGTGTTGAAATCCACAAGTTTCAACAGAAAATTATCATGTTTAATGAGTTTTAAAGTGCAAATCATATGTAAACATAGCTATGATAAAGAGGAGAGAGAAAGAGAGAGAATAGCGAATCGAACACTTGATTTTCCCCCATAAGTTTGCCTTTTTTTTTTTCTTTTTCCCGAAATTGGAACCCGATATAAGCATCCCTTCCCTTTATCTTTTTATTTTTATTTTTTTCTTTTGTAACTTACCCTATTTTCCCTCCTTTCCCTTCCCCTTTTTTTAAATCCTTTCCCTTTAATCCCATGACGAGTTGTTTTGTTTGTCATGTCAAGGCAGTACAAAAAAACAAAAAACAAAACAAAAAAGTATTGCTCAAACCACACATCGAAAAAACAGGTATTATACCAATCAAAAAGATTGTATTGCCAAACACATTTTCCCTTACTTATGGCAACACTTTGCGTTGTATTTACCATTGCGCACGATCACCCATGAATATCAATGCTTGTTGCACGCCATTGCAAACACTCAGGCATTTCCCAAGCAGTAGGATCGTTATGCTTAATGTCCTGTGTTGGGGAAAAGAAGGAATTGAATGGTGGTGATAGGGAGAGAAGGAATAAATGGTGGAGGTTAGGAGAGGAAGTGGTGGTGGTGGTGATGAGGGAGATAGCGATGGTGGTGGTGATGAGGGCACGAGAGAATGGTGGTTGTGAGGGAGAAAGAGATTGTGGTGGTGGGAGGGAGAGAGAGATGTGGAGGTGTGATGGGGAGAGAAAGATATGGTGGTGGTGATGAGGGAGAGAGAGATGGTGTGGTTGAATGAGGGAGAGAGAGATGTGGTCTTGGTGCTGCTGGCGACGCGCATCGCTGTGGTGGTTCGGCGCCGAGTTGTGGTTGGTGGTGAGGGAGAGAGAGATGTGTCGGTGGTGCTGAGGGCAGCAAGGATAGTGGTGGTGTGCTGCGGCGCGCGCGCTGGTGGTGGTGCTGCGGTAGAGAGAGCTGGTGGTCTTGGTGCTGCGGGAGACGCTCGCTGGTGTGTGCGGGAGCCCGCGCTTGTGGTGTTGGTGCGGGCGCGAGCCTGGTTGCGGTGGGTGATTGCGGGCGCGACAGCTCGTGGTGGTGGTGCTAGCTGGAGCGCGCGCTGGTGGTCGTGGTGCTTCGGTCGCGCCCGCTGGTGGTGGTGCTTCGGGCGCGCCGGCTGTGTGAGTGGTGTGGTGGTGCGGCGCGGCCGCTGGTGGTTAGGTGCTTGCGGGCGCGCCCGCTTGTGGTGGTGGGCTGCGGTCCGCACCGCTGGTCGGTGGTGGTGCTGCGGCGCGCCCGCTGGTTGGTGGGCTGCGGGCCGCCCGCTCGTGGTGGGTGGTGGCTGCGGGCGCGGGCGCTGGTGGTGGTCGTGCGGGCACGCCCGCGCTTGTGGTGGTGTGCTGGCGTCTCTGGCCCGCTGGTGGTGGTCTGCGGGCGCGCCCGCTCGTGGTGTTGGTGCTGCGGGCGCGAGCGCTTAGGTAGGTGGTGGTGCTGCGGTGTCGCGCGCATGGTGTTGTGATCGCGCGCGCGCCCTGGTGGTGTGGTGCTGCGGGCGAGCGCGCTGGTGAGTGGTGAGTGCTGCGGCGCGCACAGCCGGTGGTGCTGGATGCTGCTCCGCGACCGCTGGTGGTGGCGCTGCGCCGAGCGAGCGTAGTGGTGTGGTGCATCTGAGGGCCGCCGCTCCTGGTCCTAGGTGCTCCGGGAGCGCCGGCTGGTGTCTGGTGCTGCTCCTGCGCCGGATGTGGTCGGTGCTCGTGCTGCTCGGCCACTGGTGCTGCCGCGCCGCGCGCGCATTTGAGGGCGCCCCGGGTGTCGTGGTGCTGGTGCTGCCCCGCGCGCCCCGCTAGTTTCTGGTGCTGGCGGCTGGCTCCCCCTCTTCGGTGCTGGTGCTGCTCAGGGCCCCCGTAGTCACGTGCAGCTGGTGCTGTGGCTTGGCGGCGCGGGTAGTGGCTGTGAATTGGCGGCCGAGCTGCCTATTATCTTTCATCATCATTCGCCTCCTGATCTGCTGATGATGCTGTGGCATGTGTCTGTCATGCGCTCGGCGTGTGGGTTTCGGTTTCATAATGCTCTCTATCTCATTTCTCTCTTTCTCTCTTTATACGATCATAGTAGCTCGATATCGCTGTCTTTTCTCAGCTTGTCTCTACGCTCGCCATGGCTAGTCTATTTGTCTGCGTGCGTAATCTCTCTCTCGCTCGCTCGCTCACGCGCGCGCTAGATCGTCATTTCTATCTACTCTATCTCTCTCTCTCTCTCTCTCTCCTCTCTACCCCTCTTCTCTCTCTCTCTTTTTTTTTTTTTTTTTTTTTTTTTTTGTAGCTTTTTTTTTTTTTTTCCCCCGCCCTTCATTCCCCTGCCGGCCCTCGGCCCCTCTCCCTTCCGTCTTAGATAGGTTATCTGGTCCGTGTCCCCCTTGCCTGCTGAATCGCCCTGTCTAATCACCGAGGTCGCGCGTTAACACTTGTGCCACGGCGTGACTTCCCCCTACACACCTGCGTTTGACTTCTCAATGCGATATGTCGTTTTCTCGGGCTCGAGCAAGCACTCAGAGCGCCGGCATGTTTACGACCGGGGAATTGACCCGTGACCAAGCGGGTCTGAGTCCAGTGCCTAACCACTGAGCTATCGCGGCAGTCCTATATATATATATATATATATATATAAATAGTATATATAATATATAGATAATATATATATATATATATAATATATATATCTATTGTGTGTGTGTGTGTGTTACAATACATACATGATATCTATATAGATAGATAGATAGATAGATGTGTGTGTGTGTCGTGTGTGTGTGTGTGCTGTTGTGTGTGTTATTTTATGTATGTTATGTATGTACACACATCACTCATAACACACAAACAGGGGAGGGTTTCATACATCTACACAGTTCGGTATTGCATTCGTCGTCTTTCATATATATACTCGTCCCTAAGAACATCTGACTTCGGTTTCGAATTCTTAAATCAATTTCCACCGCGTTGCCCTACGATTAGTGTGTGTAAAACATCATTACTCATGTTAGAGGAAATAAAGAATGCTATGGGGCTCGTTAGATCCTAGTGGGTCATTGTGACATGGATTAGTACTGGTCCTCCGAGGATTCATACCTGGAGTGACCTCGGACCTGGTTATAGGAGGGTTAATATATATATATATATATATATATATATATAGAATATATATATATATATATATATATATATATATATATATATATATATATATATATATTTGTGTGTGTGTGTGTGTGTGTGTGTGTGTGTGTGTGTGTGTGTGTGTGTGTGTGTGTGTGTGTGTGTGTGTGAACAAAGGGAGAGAGATAAGTAATTAGACAAAAGTATAGATAGACAGACAGACAGAAAAACATATAGATCAACATATAGACGACTAAATAAACATATTTTCAATACCTTTAAGTTGATTAGATTATAAGCGGATCAGACAAGTTCTAAAAGGCGGATAAGTTTAATTAACTTCTAGATTATAGCAATTATCCATCACTAATTAAAACTTGACTTTCCAACTTAACAAACTTACGTAGACCCAAACACACGTACACACACGTGCATGTACACATAAACACACATATATCATCATCTTGATAGTAAGGAGGATGAAGAGGAGAATAATGATGATGATAGTGATCATGAGGGTGAGGATGATGATGATAATGATGATAATGATTATGATAATGACATTGATAATGATAATCTTATTGGTAATGATAACGATAATGATTACTATTATAATAATAATAATGATAAAACTAGTAATACAACCTTGCTAATAAAAACTTAACAAAACATAGATAAAACGGAAACCAAAGAAATAACTAAATAAAAACGAATTCTAAACCGAACAGAAAACGAAGGCGAAGAGCAACAGAAAACGGGACCTCAGCCAGTACTCTCCTCTTCACAAAAACGTTCGGATGAGATCAAACAAAAACGTTTGATCTCTTGCAAGGATTCGGAGATAAGGAAGCCAGATCCGCTTATCTTCCTAATTCGTCGTCTTCTTTCTCCTTCTCTTGTTTTTCTCTTTCTCTTTTCTATGCCTTCTTTCCATTCCTGGTTCTTCTTCTTCTTCTAATATGTCTTTTATAAACATTTTCTTTTTTTTTTTTTTTTCTTAGTGTTTGTTGTCTTTCTTCTTCTTCTTCTGTTTTCTTATCCTCTCTTCTATGTCTTCTTCTTCTTCGTCTTCATATCCCTTTTCTTCTTTTTCTTCCTCTTCCTCTTCCGATTTCAATTCCTCTTCCTCCTCCTCCTCCTCCTCCTCCCTCCTCCTCCTCCCTCCTTCTCCTCTTCCTCCTCCTCCCCCTCCTCCTCCTTCTCCTCCTCCTCATTCCTCCTCCTCCTCCTCCTCCCTCCTTCTCCTCCTCCTCATTCCTCCTCCTCCTCCTTATCCCTCCTCCTCCTCCTTCTCCTCCTCCTCCTCCTCCTCCTCCCTCCTTCTCTCCTCCTCCTCCTCCTCCTCCCTCCTTCCCCTCCACTTCCACCTCCTCCTCGAAAATCTCAGCCTTATCGAGTCGCTCCTTCCCGCCCTCTTCAAGGTTGTCCTCGAAGTGAGTTTCGG